TCTCTATCCTTTCTTCATCATACCATTCCAAGATCTCCGCGGAAGTTCCAGATTGAACTATCGAGTCGTACACCTGAAAATTAAAACCTATTGTACAATTAACCTAATCTTCAAACCTTGAACTTATAATGATACGAAGTAGACTATAAATCAATGAACGATTGGTAATCGTATGAATTTTGCGAACAGTGCAGTTTGAGCATCAGCCAAAGTGAAAAGATAGGGACGAGCCGACGACCATTGATCTCCTCAAACAAGACGCGTGATGAGGTGAACGAGAGAAGTAGACCGTTTTTTTAAAGAGTGCCACGTAAAATCACTTCAATAATGACACGTATCATGATTGGTAACTGCATTCACTCGATTGTAATCTCGAAGACGCGTTTTATTAATATGTATGGGCATGCCCGTATGCATTAATGTGATCGGGGCATGCCCATGGGCATGCCCTCGTGCTCTTTCCCGGGAGCATGGTTCTTGAGGATGTGATTCCAACCCTACTCAGGAAGCAGACGAAAGCTTCATAATAGTTTCAGAGTATTATTCTTTTGAAATGCGCGCATGGCCTCAGATAAAAAAATAATTCTTACCCAGAACGACTCAGAGCGCACATAAAATGTATGTTTAATTTAGTTGGGCAAAGCGCGATTCAATATGTATACAAATTTAGTTGTCACATACGCAACTCCAAGCATAGGTGAGGCAGCCAAACTCAAGGTAACATCAACTCGCAAATTAATTAGTGGGGCTGTTCCAAACTGAAAGGAGATACCCAAACTTTGTGTGAAACTAGAACTATAACTTGATTGCACTAAATCAAAAATGCTCAGATCGGTCTAACATAACCACCAGCCACAAACATTCCATATGTCAAACCAAAATTGACTAAGTGGCAAGCGAAGGTTTTAGAAGTTTGAAAGTGTCAAATGGTATATCTTCATCTCAATCTAAAGATTAGAATATTTTTAGAAGGTTTAGGAATCCAATGACATGTTGCAACATATTGAAAACTAGTCAAATTGACCATAGTTTATTTTTGTAAAGTAAATTAGATAAGAATTACCATTTGTTATTATATTGATTGTTAAATTGTATATATAAAGATGTAGAGAAAATACAATCAAGCAAGTTTTCGGAATTTCATTATGGGAGTACTTGTTTCATCAATATAAATTTAAGAATATAAATTTAAAAATTAAAAATTAAAAATATAGTTGTAGAAGCTTACAAAAATCAGTGTTATCATTGTATGTAAGTAGTCTTTAGTAACCCACATATCATTCTACAATCTAAAAAGAAGAGTGAAACAACACACATTCCGAATAAAAAAATGAACATCTCTCCCATGAGCTTTCATAACTTGATAAATCACCCTAAAAACTATAGGCTGAAAAAGCAATATGGAATTACTCATATTCATCAAGCAACAAACTACTAATCTCATAAGCCGAATAAAACTTAACTGGAACTCCAAATATACCAGATTGAAACATAAACAATACACTAGATTGAATTTATTAAAAGTTCACAAAATGGTTAAAATAACTTGGCACCGCTCTCCATGATCATAAAACAAGTCGAAAAACTCCTCATAACTTATTCAAAAGACATCGTTCATTTTTTACTTGAAAACAAATCAAGCAATATGCCTATCAAATAACACATTGTTCTAGATCGACTTGACTAACTATTTAATTAAGAATTACTTAGCTAATGTAAGTATATTTTTTTCTCTATTTATGAATCAACAACATCCCATATACATATAAATTCTTTATAAAATACTCAAAAGACGATATCTGTGTTAAAAGTTTTTATATTCCTCTTCTTTCAAGCATGCTAGTCAATCCAAAAGATTCTAATATGAGTTCAACATAGTTTTTCTACTACCGTTGCAACAAGTAGACCTCACCATCATATCAAACTTTGGAGAAATATATTTATTTTGCATTATCCAAAAAGCATCCACAAACATACTCAACATCTCTAGGTGAATCATTAGGAACAAAATAAGATAGTTAAATCTACAATCTTTGATCTCAATACATGTTCCAACCAACTATTGCTCAATCCAAAAAAACTATAAATATTTTTGCAAATAGTTGCTCATTCAAATAATCATGTATATATATGATATATACAACAATAAAATTTTCAAAAGCACCATGTTGTTTGTATAGATGTTTAAAATATAAAAATTTATGAAAAAAGCACAAACACATACATAATCAACTATATAGTTTCATCATTAAAAATATCTTTTTTTCATTTTTAATAAAACAAAAAACAAACAAACATAGTAAATTATTTGTTATATCTTTTGATCTATTAGTTTATATAAAAGTTTAAAAAGATATACACTTAAAATTTTTATAGATTTTATTTTATTATTTACTCCAATATTATGATTGAAATTGTTGTAAATGGTAAAACCCAAGAGAGACACAGTGACAAAAAAATAATGTGGTTCATCATTATGAAGAGGGCTACGTCCACCTAGAACTCTTAGCACTTTACTCTAGGTCTTGTCGTATAAGAAAACCCCGAGGTATTTATCCCCAGTACAGGATACCGTCCTAGCTATAAATAGCTACAACCCGAGGTTACCTTTTAACTTGAGTTAAGCTCAACAATTGTAAAAATTTGATATAAAATTTGATCAAATATCTAATATTAAACTTAAATCTAATGAAACAAAAAAAATTGTATGATGTCTTGTTACATTTTTTAGATTTATCTAATTATATTCAAAATACAAGAAAATTTTATTCAAAGTAAGAAAATCTCATAATAAATGTGAAATTAGTGAACATTGTTAATTTGTCAAGATAGCCACATCCGGTGCTAGTTAAACTGAAAGTAAACACAAGACATGAAGATAAAATGGTTCATCTAGAAGCAAATTACGATAACAGCTAGAACACACAAGAATGAATTACAATGGTATATAGCGTAAGTACGGTTAGAGATCAATAGTACCCTGGTCTTGGCAACATGGCTACTCATCCTAGCTATCTTTAGCTAGGAACCGAGGTTATTGTTTCACAGGAGTTAATCTTAACAATATCATGTCAAACTTTGACGTTACAAGAAAGACGAGAATCCACATATACAAAAATAGGATTGTCAAAAGAATAAGCATACACAACCTACAAGAAAATTTTGTGTCTTGTCACTCTTAGCCTACATACACAAAAACAACAAGATTGTTAATCTATAATCTACGAAGTTTTCAAGGTAAATTATGTCACACTCCCTTGACGTAAACCTTGGTTGCATGGCAACCTAGGTCTAATCTGAACCATGGCAAGCCTAATCATTACTCTAACTTGAGTTAGGTTAACTTGAAACTTGAGTTAATATTAACATCTGATTTTATTTATTCATGATCATACAATTTTGTTATGATAGTGATTGAAGTTGAAAATACAGAATAAAAGTTTTGGTATGGTCATATTTACAATGGGGTTTGATCATGGTACTGGATAATATGATTTAAAGAATCTATGAATAATTATCATTTTTTATCAACCAGAATTAGTTTAAATATATTGATCTATAATTTTTGTTTTCGATTTTTTATAAAAAATAAATACAAGGAAAATTACAAAAACATTGATTTCAAAAAAATTTGTTTATTATTAAATTAATTGATGAAAAGAAATTATTATTTTTTAAAATAGATAAATTTATTTGATTGAACATTTAATCATGCACAAAAATGGAAAGGTAATTTTTACAGTGATTTTTTTTGATAATTATAATTTATCATGCATTGAGTAACCTAAATTTACATATACAAACAACTTTTCCATGTGCTGTCCTATACTTGGATCGATACCCCTACAAGTGAAAGCACGAGAAATTCCTATATTGTAAAATAAAGTACGGCTAAGTGAAAATATGTTTTGATTATCCTAGACCAGGAGACCTTAACCGGCGAAATCCCTTAATCCCGAAGTTGCGGCTTAAGTGCGAATGGCTGCAACTACATTACAGGGCTTTGGTCAAGAATCCAATAACACAAGACGGGTGCAGCAATATGCGGAGGTATAGAGCACTCCCAGGTAGAAAGTTGCCTGGACTGGATGGAAGTTAACTCTAAAAATAATTTGGAGGCCGGATGATCACATGATCAGATGACGCGAAAGTCGGCTTATTATCTGCGCAGAGAAGCCAATAAGAGGACATAGATTTGACAAGGCTGTAGTTTGTTGTCTCTTCTGGATGGAAGTTAAATTCACAGTAAAAACGGCTCCCTTACAACAATGCGCTCACTGAAAAGTCGTTGTCAACTCAACGTATGGTGCGAGGTGCCCAACTATGTTCACGTCGTGTTTAGTGCGTACCACTGTGATGTAAACTAATCAATTAAATGTGAGAGGAATTTGCCTTTTCCAGTTACAAGAAGCTCAGCTCACTAAACTGCAAGGAGCCGAAAAAGGGTAACGGAGCACCAGCTTCAGAGGTCTGGGCCTTTGAAGAGCGAGAAAAGCTCTGAGAACTCTATGACGCAGTATGCGACCTCTCGGGACCGAACTGCAGTGTCAACTGCAGTGGGGAGGAAATGTTGGTCTACTGCGTAAGGGAGGTCAGGACGGACGATGATGAACGAAAGTCGACCCGACGTGTCGGTATCCGGTGGAAGCAGCATGGTGACGGAGAGCGGGGAAACTTTCCATTCCGGTCGCAGATGAGAATGTAGGCACAGTGAATCACGCGCGCTGACGTCCAGGGCGGAAACAGGCGCCGCCGCCGCCGCGCGGGTGTTTTCGGCCGGGGAATCGGAGGAATATGCCTCGTGTCGTTCCCGTCCAGGCCATTCCTGTAAGCCACCCGGAGCCCGGGCTCAGATTTTTTCTGCGCGGCGGGCGAGGGATCCGGACCCGAGCGGTAACCGAGCTGGAGGGACGGACGGGCCGGGCCGCGGGCCGCGGGCATAGGGCGGGTCTTTGCATTTATCAGGGGCGGGGAGGATCGGCCCAGCACTGACGCCCATCATCATCGTCGTCGTCCCCTGCGATTCGGCAGCTGCGCAGCTCGCGAGCTTTCTTTCTTTCTTTGGATCCGAGCGTTCGGAGCTTTGATTCGAGGACGAAGGGCGAGGGGAAAAATTGCGGCCGGGACTTCGGGGTGGGGACGAGGAGAGCGAGAGAGGAGCAGCATCGATTGATTCCCATCTGATTTTGTGTCTGTCGTTGTGATGGGGGCCTACTCTGCGATTTGACGGAAGTCCGGTTGGGGAAGGCCGAGGAGGTTGTTCTCGGGCTCGAAGGAACGGAACTCGGGCCGTCTACGCGGTGGGGGCGCGCTGGCGGGGCGGGGAGATCGTCAGCATTTTGTTTGATACTGGCTTTCGGGAGGTCGCTTTTGAGGAGTGGAGTGCGAGCGGCGGAATTTGGAGCGATTGCGACGAGGAGGAGAGCGATGACAGAAAAGCGAGGGAGCAGTCGGAGGAGGAAGAGGAGCATTGAGTGAGAGCTTTGCAGGCCAGCCAGCCAATCGCAGGCGGGCGGGCTGTGGAAGAGTATCAGCAGCACCAAATCTTCGCCTTTTTTTCCCCTTCGTCCTCATCAGATATTTCATCTTTTTGCCGACCGCTTTGTTCCCTCTTGTCCACAGCACTCTGCTTTTTGACCTTCCTCCTCCACCTTTCCTGCTTCAAGCCCTTCCCATGACTTCGTCTTTCGTCCTTCTCCACCTGAATTTGCCCCGCTGACATGTATACAGTGTGGCGATTCTCATGTGTCGTGTGATCGTAGCACTGACACAGAGAAATTAAGAGACGGAGAGAGGGAGGCGGTTTACTCCATCCCGTTGCTATTCATTCTTCCACGTCAAGATGAAGCAAGTTCGAGAGGGCCTCTACATCGGAAACATATCCGATGCCAATTCGGTATTTCAAGGAATGCACCCGCATGTTACCCACTTACTCTCCCTTCTCTCGTCTCAAATCCTTTATCAACAAAATCCTAAACCTGGCGATCCTTACTCAATTGTGACCTTGCGCCCTGGTGCCCATCTTCAGCAAATGAACCACCAGACTGGAGGCAAACAGACTACAGGTCTACCCTCCACACCTGAATCTGTTCCAGTTAAGTCCGATGCCGGCAGCCGAAGTGGCCACGAATTCGTTCGTATGACAGTTCCTTTGAAGGATATGGAATCGGAGAATTTGTTGGACCACTTGGAGGCCTGTATGGATTTTATCGAGAAAGGGAGAAAGAACGGAGCTGTTCTGGTGCACTGCCTCGCAGGGATCTCTCGCAGGTCAGTTTATCTCGGAGTTTGTCTGCCTTTCAGTCCTCCAATCGGTATCGTATTTGATTGGTATAGTGGTTTATCTCTTACACAGTGTCCTGTAATTATCTATTTCAATTACCTTGTTTGTAAGAAATTTGAACTGCTGCTTGATTCGCCTTACGTGCCACTCCTCGCAATTTTCTGTCGCTAGTTCATCCAGTAGTGCCATCGAGGACTGGAATGGAATCTGATATATCCCTTGGTTAGCTGGTAATGTCTCGGCCGCTTCAGATCGGTTGACAAATTCTCATCAGCAAGCTCTTGATTGAAAAGATGACTGTTACAAATTCTAGCTTTCACGATCCAAAAGGAACGCTTGGCTTGTTCTTATGGCTTTCTTCGTAAATTCCATCGGTTTCATGTTTGTAACTACATAGGGTGGGGTTCACTCTTGTATCGATATGCTGTTTCCCGTTCTACATTATCCGTAGCAATCGTATGATACCCCAGTATGCTAGTTGTCGAAGTACCTTTTTCCCAGCACAATACTGGATGCTTTTAAACGCATGTGGATCAGTCTGTGCCTTCCGCTCATACGTTTTTCTCGCAGACGAGCATTCTGGTCTGTGTGCCGCGGAGTGTGCCCCATAATAGCATCTGGCTTTTGTTCTTTTGCAGTGCATCAGTAATCTTGGCATATCTGATGCGAACCGAGCGTCTTTCTGTAGAAGGTATGCATCTACACTTACGAAGTCGAGATGTTGCGGAAGGGTGATACATAGAAGGTGCACCTAGCTGTGAGGGTCGCTGCAATCTTGTTTTAAACACAGTTCCCCTCACCTAATCAATTGTCTGCCAATTTGTGACAGATGCTCTGACCTCACTTCGTGGATCGAGCGATTCCGCTTGTCCCAATGAGGGCTTCATGGAGCAGGTATGCAAGCTCAGAAAACTTAAAGCTTCTTCCACAATTACAACAATTGCTACTTTGCTTTTTCTATCCTAGCCCTTGAGAGTACGGCCACACATGTTAAAGCGAAAAGGTGAAGGCCAGTCGAACAATGAAATCTACTGACATTAAACGCTAGAGATAATCTTTGCCAGCCTTTGAGTTTGAGTTGTTTTTTATGTATGGACCAGAGATCTTGATTTCTAATACTCCTGTTAACTGGTTTTTCTACTGCGCAGCTGCAAATGTTTGAAGAGATGGGTTACAAGGTCGATCACGAGAACTCCATCTACAAGAAATTTCATGTTTCAAATCTAGGTAAGTCGTGGTGTTGACCCTACGTATTTCTCCCTACGGACTCTATTAGTGTATAGACCCCATTTTAGCTGTAGAGCTTGTGAACATGGAGCTGTACAGCTGGAGTCCAATACTCTAGAAAACGGTATCGGGGGTGCATACTAGAAGTAGTTTTCGATGTCACTCATCTCCGCCTCCTGTGTCCTTGTGTATACTTAGGGACTATTCTGTCCTCCCTGTTAATGCCTTTTGTTCGATTACGTTCTTTTGTCTTCAGCCAGCGCCGGATGCACTAGTATGGGGCGGCCACTTATGAACCATGTCTGCAATGTTGTTGGAGGAGTTAAGGTTAGTTTGAAACCAGAATCAGGATAAACGTGGCTGAGCTAGATTCTTTACTCGCACCAGGTGACTAAAAATTGCCATTTGCTTCGTTTTGAGGGCTGCTTTTGGCGTCACATCTCTCAAGCGCTGTATCTGACCCGAAGTACACATACTTGGTCCTCATTTGCATTGGCATTTCCTCCAAAGTGGTTAGGCAACTGCAATCGGGGAGTTTAATTAGTTGACGGTACTAGAAACCCATCTCCTAAGTCGAACTTGGATCATATCATGTCTCATCAACCAGTGTTACATAGTGTATACCCTCGGCATTATTACTTCGAATGAAACTCAGCGTCTAGATTTCATGCCACGTGGTTTGCACACCTCTGTCAATCTGCTTTCAAGTGTCCAGTAGAGTCTTTGTTTCTGGGCATGCCTATAGCTGAATTCATTTGCAGGGGAAGCCTATGGCAAAGGAGAAAAAATCGAAAGCTCCAGGTTCGCCAGTGACCCGGGTGCGACTAACGCGTCTTTGGCGGAGAATTTTGGGTCACAAATCAATTTAAGTGAAGAGAAAAAGGTGGCCACTTTGTATCGGTGCAAAAAGTGCCGAAGGTTAGTAGCTTCTGAGAGTAACATCGTGGCACATAACCTTGGTTTGGGAGAGCCTTCATTCAAGACGAAAAGGAGGGGGGTTGGACGTTTCCAAGATGATGAATATGGAGAGCCGAAGTGTTCATCCATCTTCGTGGAGCCGATGCAGTGGATGACAACAGGTTCCAATCTTCACTCTCTATTAGAGACCAGTTGACCCCTTTTTACGTTTCTGCCTTTTGCAAGAACATACTTGCTGAACTTACAGGTCACTTCTGGTTTTGAAGCAGCATTTTGTCTTTTTTTCCTGCTTAGATGCATAAAAGGTTGTATACAATTTTGCGTATATTTTGAAATAATTCTGCAGTCATCACATTACCTCTATTGTGGTTACTCTAATCATTCTGCTTATTTAGTATGTAGAGTTGCTGTTCCAGATTGATACGGGTAAGAAGTCTTGTCATGTCTTATCACTTACCGTTCTACAGGGGAATAAGGTATCCACTTTTGTGGCTACCAAGGCTATTCAATTGCATATGTAGCAGCTGAAAACTGAAGCAAAGTTTGACGTTTGTTTTATTCCTATGGCTCTCGTTTAAGTTTCAACAGCCGCGCAAGGGGCGATGGTTAAATTCTTGGTGCTGAATTTTGTCTGGGTGGGGCAGTTATAGAAGGACATGTGGAGGGAAAGCTTCTGTGTGCTACATGTGAAGCACGACTCGGCAATTTCAACTGGGCAGGACTTCAGTGCAGTTGCGGAGCATGGGTCAATCCTGCCTTTCAACTTCACAAGAGTCGTATGGACTTGACCTGGACATGATAAGATAGATATAAAAGCAAGTGTGACAATCCCAGCTTATCAACAATCAGGGCTACAGGGAATACACGTGCATCTAGTTCTCGTAGATTAAACACTTGAGCTATCTACCTAACCATGCCAGCGAGTCAGCACCTGCTCTTTGCCATCTGTGACTTCAAATAAGATTTGGTTGCGTTCGTAAGTAGTGAACCTGCCACAACCCCCTCTCCTGGAATGAAGTTTTAAATGGCTCTCAGCTCATGTAAATTCAACCCTCCTTCCTTGGAGCTCTGAATAATTTTTTTTGATGGTACATGTCAGACTCGAGAAGTTCTGATGTGTTTTTCACTGTGCCGGTTTTCTCATGGCTGTGTGGCCAGCTTACTCTTCGAGGAAACCACATTCGGAGGGACCAATTTTATGTACTGGTCGTTCTTATTTCCTACTAAAGTTGACCAAGCGTTGAAGCTGGTCGTTAACAATTGTTGTTCCTTCTCCAGGGTACTGACTTGAGGTATTCCTTGGAATTCAAACGCACTATTATTACATTTTTTCCCCACGTGTCCTCATCTTTATGATATACATTTCCTTTGTCTAAACACGCTGTACATAAGCGAGCCGTTCGTTATACTTTTAGAATTCAAGTATCCTACATGCGTATCTGCATATATGTGTTTCGTCGAAGAAGGTGCTACTTACGTGAGCCTTCTTGGTTCTGTTTTTTTACATCGTTTCGCTACTCGATTAACTACTATTTCAACCATCTGATCTTTGTGGTCCTTTTGACGTGTTGAAATGAATCGGGAGAACTGTACAGATTATTTGGTGGGAATGAAACAGATTGTATGGCGGAAATGATGGAAAATGCAGAGCTAGAGCAAGGCGCCAAAACGCGTTTCTGGATTCTAAGTTAAAGACTTCACGGTCCACACCCAATTATATTGTTGTTTTAAAAGGCTTCGCAATCATATGACGCTATGTTTTACTTCCAATTATTGGTTACACAATGGTGATTCGCCCGAGTCTGGAGATTATTTTGGTATTTTCCGAAGGGAGAGAAAGATTCCCATTAATGTTTTGATATGTTTCCTCGGTTTCTTATTTTGGACACGGAGAGAACTTCAGGGCTTAGCTGGCTTAAAGAAGAAAGGATTCGAAGTCAAACCATAGGGTCTATTATTTAAACTTTTTACTATATAATCCACTTAGAAATACGGTGACAATCATTAAGATATTAAATATCCAGCCCAATACATATCAATTAAATTGTAAATAATTAAAAGTACTATTCTATTACAGATGAATTAATATTATTCCTACTAATGTTATCAAATCAATTATTCTATACCAAAAATTTCACTCTTGGAATTTGTATCTGATATTATTGAAGAGATGATATTTATTGTCATATAATTTTTTAACCTTTCTTCAAGTCAATTATGACTAACTTCATGAAATAATTGTAATTCAACAAATTTACTACTTTCAATTTTACATTTCATATAGTTCAATGTAAAATCCAAATCAAACATACCATTTAGTTTTCAATGTAACAAATATGATTTTAACAAACACTCCTTATTGATTAATTCATGGTAATTTTATTTCTACTTGTACTTATTAATTTAAATTTAAATTAGACTCAATGTACTATATGATATATGTTTCTATGAAAACTAATTTGTGTAGACATAAACAACAATATTCTTTGTAGAATATTTATAAACTATGTATTTGTGTGTCCGCTTCATAGATTTTGCTCTCAATTTTAATTATAAAAATTGTTGATCAAGCAATGTCGAAGATGAAAATTAGATAATTAAAAAAGTAACATAGAATAACAATCTAAAAAGTTTTTCATAATGAATGTAGATTAAACAAATACTAATCATTGACCAAGATTCAAACACGGAAAAAGATGAAAATGTATTGTTATTGTACAACATTGATAGATTGAATTCAAACATAAATGAGCATATTGATGAACTACGTATTAATTTTTGCTGTTGCTATTGATTGACAGTGTTTGTCAAGGTTGAAGTTGGAGTTATCCACATAATATCAATATTTTTTTGGTTGATAGAGTTGATTTTCTTGCTATTGTGCTATCGAGGAAACAATTAATTTATAGAATTGATCAACTGAAGTCAACAGATGTTTTTTGAATCTAGTTGATTTTCTTTTCATTTAGCTCGGATAGGCTTTGTTCAAATAACTTTGTTGATGTGATAATGATGATTTAGATGCTTCATTTTTTATTTCCAAAATATTAGTCTTGGAGAATTAGAGCATGAATTATTTGTTACAATATCATGTATATTCATTAATTTTTTCAGTTAGAATAATATATATTTCGGATTTTGTACGTAGATATTCTATGAAAAAATGGTAGTCTTAATTTTTCCATTAGAAAGAGGATTTGACAAATGAGACATTCATATTTATTGAAACTAGAATTATAATTTTGATTGCTTTGTACTAGCAAAAAATGCCAATTTTTTATCTTAAACAACACAATGATCATTTTCTTTACCATAGTACAAGAGCATGAGACCAGATTTAAATATTTTTGTGTAGATGAAAAAAAAGGAACTCGTCTAAACTTCTGATGTCATATTTAATGGGGGTAAAAATCTTCTTTGCAATTGTACAGTAATTTCGAGATTCTACACCAATTCGATACATATATTATATTGCTTTCAAGCTCTTACTTTCACCTCAGAAATTGATCCTAACCATGCAAGTTGAACAATCACGCGTTACTGCAAAAGATCTCATGATCACAAAAACTACATATTTGTTTTGAGTGTAGGTATTAACATTCTGCAGTAAACGAGGTATCTAGTTACACTGATTCATTGTCAATAGAAGCTAACTAACCTTGCAATAATGAGACCGAGCAAGGCTTTGCTCTTAGACAGGATGATAATATCCAGAGTTGTTCCAGTACACTGACTTCTCATGTTTGCACATTGAAGGAAGTTTTAAATAGAATATCACATATTCTCCTGCAAATCTAGTGTTTGATCTGAACATATTTCACTTCATCCGACACTTTGTCACTTTTTTCAATCCATGGATGTCGTAGTGCATACTACAACATCAACCTGCGGGTATCCTTTGTATCTTTTATAAAATCATTTGTATCAATACAGGTAAATGATAGGACAAAATTTTGTGATTGGTAGAATATACAAAGCATACTTTTTGACATGGAAGATTTTATAAGCTACAGTATGTGTATCTTTTAAAGTGAAAAGAATCATTTCGAAATTTTGTATCAAATTATAAGTTTACCATCATCATCAAAGAGTTTAATAACATGAGGTAAATATGAATTTTTTTTTTTTTTTGCAACTTAATGTTTCAAATTTTATTATTATTATGGTAATTCATTCTTTTCATAGCGGTAACTGTTATGCTTTGTCAAAGAGTTACAAATTTGACTTTACATTCAACTTAAAATTTTACAATCTTGATATTTTATTCACATTAAATAATGTTATCGTTAGTGATTTGAAGACATTGATGTTCTCAATCCAAAAACTTTCAGTTTGATTTTTTTGAAGATAAGATATATATGCAATGGAAAATAATTCATTCTTTTAATTATAGAAAGAAAATTTTATAATATGTTATATTCATGATTATAGCTATTTTGTATACAATTATTAATGAAAAATTTCACTTTGTTGATGTTTGTTCACTGATGAGCATCAAGCACAGCGTTTGGAAAGCCTGCTGAATCCGGCGAAGTGATTATCTGGTAACAGAGTAAGATTGTCTCCTGGGTACCAAAAGATCAAAATATCAAACCATGAAGAAGACCGAACAGAATCTTGAATCTGAGGACCGGTACACTGCTAGAATTGTCGATCGTGCCATGGATCCCACTGAAATTTCGTTTCTTGACTTGCTGACTTGTCTCTCGAGGCCAGAGAACTTCAGCAATCATTCGTTCGATTGAAGGCATTAAACAAATAATTGATTGATTTCCTGTCTCAGCGAGAACGAGATGTGAGGTTCTGTACGATCACCAGAATCTGCCGAAGATTCTGATGAGGACATAATCGAGCACGAAGAGGCCCTGTTGCCTTTGATTGGTAACTACAGAGCTGTGAACGGTTAAGACCTCCTCCAAGAGAGTCGATACATTTTATCAGATCTCCATTAGGCGATACAGAGCTTGGATTTGGGATTCTATTCCCCAGAGAGCATGCAGGGAATATTAAGTATTCCAGATCGACACTTTGCAGGCGTTTTGCAGTCCGGCAATACGAAGAGCCCCTACAAACACGTTCTGATCTCAATAAGTGTTAGTCTTCTGGCGATCAGAAGGCCGAGGGTTCAACGAGCCATGTAGAAAACAACGGTCCAGGACAGCCTCACGGACAACGAGCGGGACACAAGCGAAGTCCAACCGAGTCGACATTTGAGCGTCAATCGCAAGGCATTCTTCTATGTCTCGAAAGGAGTTGAATAATAATAATGGTGCGCGTGCTGTAGCAGATGGAGAGGCGCGCAAACCTCTCATTGTCAAGGCGGTTCTGTGGCGCGGTAGAAGGAGTGGTTTCACTTTCAGAACCTTCAGAACCTTCAGAACTAAAAGCCGAGCAAACACTTCTCTGGTCGGTCAGTCGGTCCGACGCCGTGGTCAAGTAGCAGATCGAGATCTAGACTAGAACCTCACAGTCGGGCATGGTGGTAGTAGTAGTAGTAGTAGAAGAAGAAGAAGAAGAAGAAGAAGACGAAGAAGTAGAAGTACACCATGAGTGTGCACCTTCCGATCGAACCAGAAGGGCGGGTCAAGCGACTAGCACCAGCCGTCACAATCGGGTAGAGCCTTTGAATTCCGAGCATTTCCACAAATCTGTCCCATAGGCATCATATCCGGGACTCAAACTAGTTCCCCAAACTACGTGAGACGCGAATTCCAGCAATGCCCAGGACTAACTGCACAGAATCAACAAAAAATCACAAAATCAACCCATCATATCATCATGGACAACAAAATCAACCCGACCCGTCGACTCCCATTCACACTGCTCGGAAATAACGACAAGCTGTGCAGCGCAGTCAGGCTCGCTGACAAACGTCAAGATTTGTCAAAAAAAAGCCGAGCCAATCGTCCCGGACTGACTTGCAGATTCCAAGATGCTACACTGTGCGGATCCACCGTCGCTCTCACATCATCCTGAACAGACTGCAAGCTTCGAACCCGAGCCATGGTCGCGGGGAGGAATCGAAAACCAGCAGCCGAGTCTAAACCGATCTCGTGAAGCTGAGTTTGATCCTAGTGGGCGCAAGTTGCAGCATTCCACGAGTCGCGATTCGGGCCGGACAGGACCTCGATGCACTTGGGGGCAAATCTAGAGGCCGAGGAGGAGAATCGTGTCCGATTCCGCGAGGAGGGTAGCACGGGCCGAGAAGCCAGCTTGGAAGGCTGCGCCATCGCTTGTGTGCCGCTCCATGTCTGGGGCACCGCGAGGCCGCGCGCCGAGGTTCCAGGTCCGAGCTCAGGAGATTCAGCACAAACTCAAGGGCCCCGAGCGGCGACCGACGAGCCGAGGCAAGCGACGAACGAACGACGTTCTGCTCCCATGCACGACCGAGCGGCGGGCCTCCTGGAGGGAGGGGTACCATTGACCCGGGCCGAGCAAAGTTGAGGGCCGAGAGAGACATTTCGTTTATGAGAAGCGTCCGTCCTATGGCACCCCCCTCCCCCCACCCCCCCTGGACTTCTGACTGCTGCTGCCGGTCGTGCGTGGACGTGCCGCCTTGCTCTTTGGATTGAGTTCCGCGCTTCCGCATGCGAGGGAGAGGGAGACGCAGATGGACCTGGACGCGATCTGGGGGCCTTTCGGGCCAATGATGGTGGGCGGTAGGAAAATCGAGGCACGATGCCGCCCCTCGTCGCTGCTCCGGGAATAATCATCAGCATCGTCGTCGTTTCTTCTCTTTCTCCTTCTTCTTGTTCGGCCACAGCACGAGTTCCCATGCCACTGCAGCCGCTGCTCTGCTGCTATATGTGCGACGTAAGCTACGACTTGATCCGCAGCACCGACTTCTTCGAATTCTCGCCCCTCCCTCCCTCCCTCACTCGCTCGCAGCAGCTGTTGCTTATAAAGCACATCTGCGAGCTCGTTTGCTTCCTGGGTTGCAAACATCCATCCATCCACCCGTCGTACCTTCGCTCGACGCATTTCCTCGACCTCCACGTTTGAGTAAAGTGGACTTCGACTTCCAGTGTGGGCCGGCACGAGCTCCATCTCCAACCACCGGAATTTCCACGTGCACTGTGACAATATGGCATTCATGTCGCTCCTCGTGATGGTTTTGCTCGTCGGTGTTCAGGGTGCGGCTGCGGCTTTTGACTCTGTAAGTTTCCTTCGTCCTTATCTCCATGTCCGCTCTTCTTCGGATCGCCCACAGGCCTTGAATGATCGATCATGATGCCAAACACGATCCCTCGAAGTATTACAAATATCTGAGAACGGGAAAAATGAGTAGAATTCATGGGCTGGCTTGACCTGACCTGACCCTCCGAATGCAAGTCGATTGTACAACTTATTCTCTTAGCCACAGAGAAAGTCAGTTCGAAGCTGCTCGGCCACACTTTTATAAGACGGCCGTGGGGATTCTGTACAGCTTCTCTCGCTGGGGGCATCCATGTGGGGATTATCGATGGATTGAGTGTCGAGGGGTCAGCCTGCTCGCTGCAGATCTCAGGGCTAGAGTCGTGAGGCAGTAATCGGGGCGTGAATTTGGACGTGAGTATGACGCGATTGGGATGGTGGGATTGCAATGCAGGACGAGGAGAAAAAGTGGGTCCAGCTGCATGGCTGGCTCATGTGGGGATCGATGGGATTTCTGCTACCAATTGGAATTCTTCTCGTCAGATGGACCAAGCCTATGACAGACGTTTATGAGACGCCCTCATCAGCTCGCGTGTGGACTTTATTTTACCTCCACATCATTTGCCAGGTAAACTCATGTCGTTACTGTGTACTCTCTGACACTGCTTGATAACTGCTAGTTTTTAAATACACTTGATGTCCGACAGGAAACATGCCTGCTGCTGGCATTGACCGCACTCCTTGAAAATTCGCTATATTGTAATTTGATGAATACAGGTTCTGGCACTTGCTCTGGCCACTGGTGGTGCCGCCGTTCTCTTTGTCAAAGTGGGAACACAATTCTACTACACTCACCAGCGCCTTGGATTAGCGATAATGTGCTTGATCTGGTTCCAGCCTGTAATTGGCTTGCTCCGCCCTGCAAAGTACGTACTCCTAATCATCGATTTCCTGAATAACTGGCTGAGGATCTGAACGGGCATAGAAGAGTGTAAAGCCAATTCAATGCCTAAGAGTTGCTAGTAACATCACAAAGTGGGCACTTTTGGGAGTTCTGACTTGAGTGTTTGTTTGATCATTGTATCAGTAATTTGACCAGCCGACATGTTGTTCCAATTTTTTCAGAGGCTCAATTTACAGATCTATTTGGTTCGCTATCCACTGGGTTTTCGGAACTGGAGCCATGTTCCTAGGTATCATCAATATCTACATCGGTGTCCGAATCTATGAGTTAATCTCAGGGACGAGCATAAGGACTCTCAATATAGTCTTCTCGGTTTCAGTGGCGATCATGTGCTTTCTGTACTTGCTGCAAGACAGATGTGGACATATGGTGAGCCAAGGCAGACAGCACAAGCCCGTGCCTCAACACAGCATGAACTTGTAAATTACATGTCGCTTCACCCTGCTCACTACCATGGATTTGCGAGCTGTTCATGGTTCGAAACTCTTGGACTCTTATTTTCAGAAGAACTGAAAGACCGTCGATTAAGTTGTCCGCAGTCTTTGACTGCAAGCTCCAGACGGATGTTTCTGTATATGATGGTGGAAGCAGGACCCTCTAGAACGAAAAGGAGCCTCTTCTCACCGCCCTGTAGACGTGCTTACACGGATATCTTTAGCTGTGAAGCTCTTGCCTCATGCTCAGCTACCCATGCTCACAGATGCTAGATTGATAGAATCAGGATGATATGAATCTAACCATTAGGAAATAACTCCATCTTTAGAGGTGTTGATTAAAAGCTTGAGTTTCCTTGTAAGAAACTTAGCCACTCCCACCCAGAGATGGAGAAGGACGTCCACTTTGTCTTGTAGATTTCTTTGACGATAATAAAATGTAATATAAAACCACTTCACGCGTTTTGAAGGGACCTTAGTCACGATATTAATTTTTTCCTCATGATAGTGTACACCTTAGGCGCACTCATCCAGCGAGGTGTAAGACTTTCATCATCGTTCTTTACTCTATTTAAACCAAGGTGTTCAGAATCTTCGCGATGAAGATACGAAATGAAAAGGAATCTGATCGTGAGAGGTGAAGGATTTACATGCCATCAGCGACAACGGTGTTAGCGTTATTGCTGACATACGAAAAATAGCGTGTTTACTTAGAATCTTACCAGTTACTTTTGCTAATCTGTTACTTCTGGTCGTTCACGAGTCAAATGAGGAGAGTGCCACGAGTATAGCAGATCTGAACTGCAGACGACAAGAAGTTGTAATGACTGCAAGCATTCTTTGATGTCACTAAGACGTCCGTTCTCTATTACTTGTCTCCTTTGACTATACTCAATGATTCTGTAGGCGAAGAATGAAGCAATCGGTTTTCCAGGCAATCGCTATATCTAACATACTAAGCAATACGGCTGTGTATGTCTCCATCGTTGTAGATTTCATTACTCGCTAGTTTCTAGTGTATCGTCGTCCATCCAGTCGTTGGAATGAAACTATGATTCTGAAGTGCGAAAGTGAACTGCTTCACGGATCCAAATAATTTCAAACAAAGTTTCAAATGTTTTCTCAGAATGCAACCCCTGGAGGTCATTGGTACCAGCAGTATTTATGAGAGCCAAACGCCTGTCTATACAAATCCACTTCTGACAGAAAATTCTCTAGTTTCGGAATTATTGCTATGGGTTCACGACAAAAAATCAGTGACGGGATAAATCCAGGCACGTTAATTGCCTGCAACTCGATTATAATAACTTGTCGTTGTCTACATCCATGGACTCCTTGCTTTGCCATAATTGCATAAACCTCGACGACATATGTAATGTATATGCTGCATGGACACTTCTTGAATTTCAAACGTGAAGTCCTGGCAACTCATATGTAGACCCTACGAGGATTACATTATGTTTGCTTATAGAATCATCTTGCTATGCTTAAAGACTCTCAAACTCTCTGCAATGACATACATTATTCGTGCCAACACCCTAAGCCACAACGAAAAACGGACGTTGATGGTCGACTTGTGGAGTGTTCTTGATGATATGAGGCGCTGAGTCTTGATAGTTCATACAGGCCAGAGGACTCCACATTTCGACCATCCAGATATACAAGCCGGCAATCACCTAACACATAAATATGATGTTGTGAGAGAAGACAACTCGACAACTCACAACACCCCCTCTGGAGGTGAACAAGGTAAGACTAGCAAACTTCTTGTAAATTTGCCAAAGATCGCATTCCAATAAAAAATTGATGTTTGTCAAACTTGTGTCGTGGTAGGGGTTTCGTCAGAAGATCAGCTGGATTGTCTTCAGTGTGTATGTACTCAAGTGAAATTCCCCCTTGTAAAACTCGTTCTCTTACAAAGTGATGCTTTGCCTCGATGTGTTTGGTTTTAGCATGAAAGACCGGATTAGGAGCGAGCTTTACGGCACCTTGATTGTCGCATGAGAGATGCAGTTCTGCATGAGTTGGAGTTGCGACGTGCTCGAGGTCTTCACGAATGTTGGAGTCTTGACATGTAATTGGGGTGCAACAGTGGATATCTAGAGCTCGTCGAGTAGTCGACTCCTTCCTTGGTTGCTTCAGAAAGTGCCTTGTACTCTGCCTCGGTAGTACTGTCAAAAACTGTAGCTTGTTCTTTTAAAGACCAAGAGATTGGACCATTGGCTAGCACGAACAGATAAGAACCAACGGAGCGACATGTATTACGGCAATTCAGACAGTGTGGATCTGAATACTCATGAATAGAAGTAGAGTCATCTTTGTTGTAAAGAAGACCATAGTCCCGGGTAAAGTTAAGGTAGCGTCGTATGTGATATACAATGTTCAAGTGTGCTTGTTGTGGAAAATGCATGTAACGACTTACAACTCCAATGGCAAAAGACAAGTCAGGACGAGTATTGCACAGAAATATCAATTTGTCAACAATGTGGCAGTAGGGTGAAACATCTACATGCACTGTTCTTGTGTCAGCTTCCAAGACATGGCCAACTGAAAGTGGAATTAGTTCGACCATCAAGGGATCAAGCTTGCATTTGTCCAGCAGTTTCGTAATATATTTGTGTTGATGGAGAAACAAACTGTCGTTGGGTAGCCTCTGGAATTCAACACCGAGGTACCGAGAGACATGTCCTAAATACTTCATCCGATAACGTTGATGTAGTTGCGTCTTAATCTTTGATATGCATGCAGAATAAATTCCTAGGAGTAGTAGATCATTCACATAGAGAAGTAGTACAGTGATGATCTTACCTTCTTGAAGAAAATAAAGGTTGGAATCAAAGTTACTTCAAGCCCAACCAATTGATTGTAGATAGGATTTAATCTCTTCAAACCATTGTCTCGGAGACTATTTGAGACCATAGCCTGATCTCTTGAGAAGACAAAGAAGATGCTCATGGCCTGGCTGCTCAAAACCGGGTCATTGTTTCATGTAAATCATTTCCTATAGCTTTTCATTAAGGAAGGCAGTTATTACATCCATGTGATGCACTTCCCATCCAAGAGCTACATACAATGAAATAAGAGTTTGGAAAGTTGACTATCATATCACATAACAAATGGTTCATTGTAGCCAATGACATGTTTTTGTTCAAGTCCTCTAGTTACCAGACGCAATTTTAATCTAAGAGAGATAGCATTTGGTTGAGGTTTGGCCTTGAAAATCCATTTGGATGAGAGATCTTGCTTGGTTTATGGGAGCTTGACCAGTTCCCATGTGGAGTTTGAAATAGGGAAGTCAAACTCCTCCTGCATTGCTAATTTCCACAGAGGATTCTTGAGAGCTTCAATTACTGACAGTTGATCATCAAAAGGTTATGACGACTTCACTATGTTGAGGGAGCTGTGATCTAGTACATGATAGTTATCCCGCAAAAACTGAGGAAGTTTTCTGCTTTGTTAACTAGGATTACGTCTTGGACCAGGGATCAAGAGCATTGTAAAGTAGATCAATTTGTGGCAACGCTAGTAATGGCAATGAAGATGTTGAGTCGTTTGGTGTGCATCCACTTCAAAATTGTCATCTTCTGGCTGCAACAATCTGTCAAATGTCTCCTCTTCAGTGTCAAATCCACGAACTTGTAGATATCTTGGAAATGACTTAGTACATTCTCAAAAAATGTTACGTCATTTGTAGAGATGATTCGTCGGGTCACTTAATCATAGCAAAGATACGACTTAGAGTCATCCAAATTGTCTACAAATACACACCTATGTGCCTTAGGTTGCATCTTGGTTCGCTTGTCTTATGCAATATGCACATAAACAATACAACCAACACGGAGTCGAGATAGATCATAAGTCTATTCATGTAGTTTCTCAAAAGGTGTTGTGAGTTTGAGAGAGCGAGTGGCACAACATTTCAACACGTAGCTAACAGTTTGTAGTGAGTCCATCCATAGATGGGGAGGAAACTTGTACGTGTTATATATGCAACAAGCAACTTCAAACAACGTACAATTTTTGCGTTAAAAAATACCATTCTGATGAGCATTTGCTTTTGTCGTGAGTTGTCGAGTGATAGTTTTCTTCTCACAGTAAAAATTGAACTTCTTGAAGAGATATTCACCTCCCTTATCAGATTGAAGTGCAATGAATTTTGAATTCCAGTCATGTTCGGTGTGCCAAACCGAAGGACAAATTGTTGGAGGTGATGCAAAGTCTCACTTTTGAGACGCATGAATTTGACACATGTAAAATGGATGTAATCATTAGTGAAGGTTAGCAAGTACTTGAACTCGGTTCCTACTTCAACTGGTCCGCATAGATTGTTGTGGATTAACTGCAATGGACGAGTTGTCTTCATAACTGCAAGTTTGAATTTTCTTGTTTGATGCTGCTTTGTCATAACACATGTCTTGCAGCGTCTGTCACTTCCAATCGAGAGTTTAGGAAGCCCATGCACAAGGTGTTTTGAAGTTATATGACGTGCTGTTTGCTGACGAATATGACACAACTTTTTGTGCCAAAGATCGGTAAGATCAGAGTTGTTTGAAGACAGTTGTTCAATGACCCCAACAAAGGTAGATGATCCGACAGGATCAGGAGGCTTATCTGTCCGATCAAATCGTTGAAGCAAATGACTGAGGAAGTGAGCATCAAACTGTTGTAACTGAGAAAGAAGTCGATATAGTTGACTGCAAGGATCACGTTGGCCAAAGAATATCGACCTTTGAAGATTGGTCTTGTTGAGCAAAAAACAATATTCAGAATTGAACATCACAAGAACACCTGAATCTGATAGTTTTTCTACGAACAATAGGTTCTTGGTAAGTTCTAGCACATAAAGAATAGAATTGATCTCTTTACTTCAATCAACTGGCAAAGTTCCTTTGCCAGTTGCTGGTATGAGCCATAGGTGAGTTAGAGGTAGTGAGACGCAGACCTATTACCTGTCACATGGCTATTAGCACCAGAATCTAACAATTGATCTATAAATTTGTGTAAAGCCAAGGCTTCTAGCTCTACTGACTCACTATCTAAATCCTCTTCTAGTCCGTCGTTGCAATAGTCTACCAAGTTGGCTTGCACCTTATCTCAACGCATGTTAGAAGCACGGAGTTATAGCTATGCAATATGCTCATCGAGTTTCTTCAAGTCACAATTAGATTTGCAGTGATTTAGACAACCACAATAATTACAACGAGTATTTTGTCAAATTGATCCGGTGACATTTTTCTCTCTAGCTTGATAAGTAGAAGATTGTGAGAAGTTTGAATGAAAAGACTGAAAAGAGGGCCGCTCAGAACGATGTTTGCGAAAGATCAACCATGTGATTGCATTGGCAATGCCATACTCTTGATAACTGTCAAGCCAAGTACTATCCGTTTGAAGATGTTGTACCAAATCTATGAAATTAGTTGGAGGATCTTGAGATAAGTCGCTACTGAAGTTTGAAACAAAT